TTGGTTCTCACATTTCTCATTTTAATACAGCAACAAATAAGATTAATTGCACATTGGAATTTTTATTATCTTTCAGGGGAACTGAAAAGCATGTTTCCAAATGGAGTGGGCATATTTATTGATTAGAGTTCATTTTTCTGGGATGCTTAACTGTATTTGATAGTCATAAAGCTCTGTGCTCCCTTGATTACTTTGGTTCCCCTGCTGCGTATTTGGCCTCCCGTCATAATGTATATCCTCACAGTTCATGGCTTCCCCCTGCATCCACACTGGCTTCTGCCTGCATTGATAGCAGGCTGACCTCGCTTTGTTTGTTGTCTCCTCTCTAGTCTTTTCAGACTCAAGTGTCTGTTGAGGCCACCTTTCTCTGGTCATTTTTATCAGATTTTCACACTTTCTGTTCTTTCATCACTTTCTTGAATTTAGCTTTAATCTTTTTCATGGCTCTTAAAATTAAATGTTTATTTCTTTAACCTGGTATTATGGACTTTTGCTTTTAACTCTATACCCAATATAGAGTACTCTACATATAACAGGTGCTCAATACATATTCTTTACATTTATTTATTTATTTTTATGTTTTAATCAAAATAGAATTATAGCACTTTTCCCCCTTTCCTTTCCTCCCTATAGCCCTCCCCAGCCCTCCTCATTTAACTCCTTCCATGTCCCCCCACTCTCATATTAATAGGATCTTATTCCTTGTTATTATTACATAATATGTATAAATATGCATGAATATATAAATACAACCTGCTGAGTCCATTTTTGTTGTTAGTGTGTAAATGATTTCAGGGATGACCACTTTGTATTGAATAACAAATTAGAGGAATCATGCCTGGGGGAGGCTAATTCTCCATCTCTCAGCAGTCTTTAGGTAGTTGCCTGTGATTCTTTCTGTAGAAACCCAGTGAGATTTTTCTCCTTACCCATTAGTATGTCTACTGATACTGCCATTATTCCAGTCTGGCTTAAACGGACATTTCAAGCCTACTTCCTGGTATTCTGGCTCTTAGAATTTTTCTGTCCCTCTTACATAGATACAGGAGCTGTATTGTAGATGTGTCCGTTTTGTCAGGAATCCTCACAGTCCATTGATCGCTGCATTGTGTTCAAAAATGGTTTTCCATGATGATCTCCATTTACTGCAAAGAGAAGTGTCTTTGAAGAGGAGTGAAAACCACACTTAGCTGTGGATGTAAGGATAACTTTAGAATATAGTTAGGAAATATGCTGGTCTAGCAAAGGGGCAGTAGTAGATTCTAAGATTCTTTAACTCATTAACCCTGGGAAACTGATTAGGTTTCTAGTACCAGGCATGATTTCTCTCCTGTTGATTGGGCCTAAAGTATAATGAGACAACTCTTGCTTATTACAGACATGTAAGTGCCACTTCTTGCACCTATCCAGATACTTTGCTATGCTGGTCATTGTTGTGGTTCACAACATTGAGCTGGTTAGAGCTATTAATTGTTTCCCTCCCTTGGTAGTTGCATAGTATTTTCTGGTACTATAGAAGCTAGACCACAGGCAGGAGGCTTTACATGAGGTAAAGCTTAAATAAATTGAGTACTGTGCCCTAAGTGTACAGTGCCTTCAGCAGTAGGGCTTACCATCAGTCTCTGAAAAACAACCAAGGGTAACAGCAATATTGTTTAGGGTGGTGTTCTCAACCTATGGGTAATGACCCTTTGGGGGAATTACATATCAGATATTTACATTATGATTCATAACAGTAGCAAAATTGCAGTTATGAAGAAACAATGAAATAATTTTATGGTTGGGGGTCACCACAACATGAGGAACTATATTAGCAAGTTTGAACTAGGGAGTGTTGGAACTACCCTGACAATAACCTGTGACTAGCTATTCAAAATCAAGGTTTTAGTGCCTAATACTGGGGCTTTTTTCGTTTGTGGTTCTTATTTACATTCTAGACTTCAAGATATATTTTCGAGCTATAATAATAAAATAATGTGACATTGGCACAAAAACAAAGATGTAGATCAATGGAATAAAATCAAAGAGCCAAACATGAGTACTTATAACTACAGTCATTTGATAGTGGAGATTAAAAAAAAACAGCATTAAACATATATTGCATACATTGAAGAAAATGTTGAAAAAGCATTTTTAACAAAGGTCCTGAAAAAACTCCATGTCAACATGTCGAAAAATGAAATTATACCCACCATATATGTCACCCTACACAAAATTATCTCAGGTGGATCAAGGGCATCATTTTGAAAACTGAAGTGCTAAAATTGCTAGACTAAAACATGGGTAGAACCACACATTACTTTAATTTAGGAAAGGACTTTGTTCATAGGACTCCATTTCTCTGGGAATTAAGACCAACTGTTGATAACTGGGACCTCATAAAACAAAAAAGCTTCTGTACATCTAAAGAAACAACCAGTCAAGTGAAGAAGAAACCCGCAGAATGGAAGAGTATGTTTGTAGCTATATATCCGATAGAAAATTAATATCCAGAGTATACAAAGAACTAGCAAAACAAAGAGGGAGGAAAAGGACCTAATTTTTTAAAATGGGCTAGGGATGTAAAACAGTTCTCAGAAGAAATCAGAATAGTTAAGAAATATCTCAAAAAGTGTTTATCATTCTTTGAAATTCAGGAAATGCAAATTAAATCAACTTTGAGATTTCATCTTATGCTAGTCTAGTCATAATGGCTAAAATCAACAAAAGAACCAGTGGGGAAAAAAATGCTGCTGAGGTGGTGAGGAAGGAGGAGCCCTTGTCATTGTTGGTAGGAATGAAAATTGGTGCAGCTGCTCTGAAAATCAGTATGGAGAATCTTTTTAAAATGAAAATCAATCTCCCATATGATCCAGCTGTACCAACCCTTGGCATATGCCCGAAGGACTTGACACCCTACTCTACGTCCACTGCCACTACTCACAGTAGCCAAGAAGTGGAAACAACCTGTGTCCTTCAACAGATGAACAGAGACTAATCACAAACACGATGAACAGTATACACAGTGGAAAGCTAAATCTGTTTTTTTTTAAAAGAAGTCATGAAATTAATAAAGTTGGAAAGAAAATATGGGTGAGGTAACCCAGATATAGAAAGAGCTTCTCAGCTCCAAAGCTTCAGATGTGAATATAGAACCTGGAATAACAGCAGGAACCAGGAAAGTATAAAAGGACCCTGTTGGGAAGGGGTGCTTGAGAGGGGAATAGCAGGATATAGGTGCTGTAATGTAAAGGGGGGATGGGCCGGGGGACTCCAAATGCGGAGGAGGGAGGAAGGTCAGTACAGAAGGAGAGGAGGGACAAATAACAGCAAGGTTGTTTGACGGATCCTCAAGGAATCATATTATTTTATATTTACCTAAAGTTAAATTCAGTATGTATTTTTGGAATTGAATTCATTCTTGAAGATCTCTGTGTGCTATATTACCTTGTGTCAGAGTGTTGTGGCTTGCTTTAGAGGTGGCCTTTATCATATAAGATTTGAGATTAATAACATGAAGCTCTACTGTTTATTTCCTGTGTGCTGTATTAACCTTCAACAAATAACTTCCCTGTTCCTCAAGTTGTTTAATGAATAATATGGAGTAAACGGTTTCTACTTTATTAAAAGTAAAATGAATTGATGTGTATAAAATGTCTGATATAAGATATCTAGTACCCTTTGTTTCTTTTTTTGGCTACTTGAAAAGAGCCTATTAAATGTAATAATACCCCCAATATATTAATTATTTTATTCATTTTTATCAATAAATTAAAGCTTGACTCCTGTCTGTGCTAGCATAGTTGTAAGCAAACTTGACCTCTAGTCTGGGCTTATTGGCTATTAGAAAAAAATGATGTTAAATAAATGGTAACAGACACACAAGCAGCAGGAAATAGACATGCCCCTCCAGGATTTTTGTTCTATTAGGGAAGAATTATTTGAAGAAGCTTTGTTTAAGCTAAAATTGGAAGTGATTGTTAGATGAGTGTCTGCAGATAGTAGGATTTAAGTCGTTTAGGAGACAAATAGTACTAAAACTTTGACCTGGACACTAACAAGATGAACAGAAAAAAAGAGTAATTTTTCTAGTATTTAATGAACAGTGGAGATAATAGCTTGAAGATAGTTTGAAGTAGTTTGAAGTAACATATGAGCAACATGATCTGTGACCTTATAGCATATTGAAAATGTGTAACTTTGTTCCTGGGAGGTGTGAAAATAATAGGAACTTTGAACTGCAGGGCAACAGGATCTGATTTATGTTGACAAAGATAAGTCCAACTGCTCAGTGAAGCTATGTACAGAACAGATAAGAATGTGTGCTCATCCTGTTCAGACCTGCCAACTGTCAATCCAGTATCTCCTCTGCCCAGAGCACTCCCTGGCTTTCTCTAACTCTGACAGCCCTGCTCCTCCATGCTTACTCTCATCACTCTGCAGGAGTTCTGTGGTGGCTCTGTTTGAAAGGCTTGCCCTGTGCCTGTCTTTCTTAGTGTGGGAACTGAATACTAATCATGTCTAAATTCTGCTTATCAAATCTACATTAAATATGAAGAAATGTCATCGCTATAATAATCTACCGTCACATAAAAGTGTTTACTTTTAACATAGATATGCCAATTCTTGTTTTTTACTCATTCATACTACGAGACCTAACATACTTTAGCATTTAAATTAATTTTGTTGGCATTTTTTTCTGTATTGTCTATAGTCTAAAATTTGAAAATTTCTTTTAAAATATGCATCTCAAGATTTGGTACTATTGATATAAGCTGGGGGTATTTTTTCTTATTCTGTTAGTATTGAGGATTACATTTCCTTTTCTTACATGCCATAACTGCCTGTATCAAACAGACCCATCCTATGCTCTTAAAGCCTGAGCTGGTTTCAGGAGTGCTGCCTAATTAATTAAGGCAAGGCAGACAGGTTAATTGACTGAAAAAGCTAAAGCAAAGAGAAATTCTTCAAAAGAAGTTAATGTCAGCCTGTGTCCCACAGAATTCTCTGGTGCCTTCCAGAATTGCTCAGTGAACAGAGCCAGGAAAATCTCACCATTTCTCAAATGGACATAACTAAAGATGCTGAACCCAATAACGCTGCAGATGTGGAACTGTCAATGAATCCAGTGCAGCCATTGTAACCAACATTTAAGAAATAAAGGCAAATTGTCTTTTAAAGAATGTCCAAAAATAAGATCTCGACAAAGAGATGGAGTGCACAAAAAGGCGTTCAAAGAGGAAATGAAGTCATTGACATGAAAACTTAGCTGTGTGTACTCAGTAGTAGAACAGAGTTGACAGGGGAAAGAGCAGGAACATAAAGATAGATCATGGGCTTTCACAGTTGAAGAACAGAGGGATGAGCAGACTTCATAATCTATGGCACAGTGTCGGAAGGTCTACCATTCCAGTTATGAGTAAGAAAGCGAGAGAGAGAATGGGTACAGAAAACTTACGTTAAGAAAATGGCTGAAACATAGAGACTTAAGTATAGAGACTTCACACAGAAAAAAAAATAGTATTAAAAAACTGTATCTAAACATACCATAATGAATTTGAAAACCAAAGATAGGAAAATTTTGAAAGAAGCTGTGTAAGAACAAATAATCAAGCACAATATATGTTCCATCTAGCGGAACTGAAGCTCACAAGATTATAGCTTTCTTGTAAAAATCCTGGAGCTCAGAAAAGGCCTTGTTAATCCAAAGTTTTATATCCAGCAAAAATTCTTACTGTAATTGTGGCAAAATGAAAGTGTTCTCACCTAAGTTGTTACCAGAAGTCACATTCTCAAAGAAATGCTGAGGACATTGTTCCATCGTACAGGCACCAGAGAACACCTAGCAACTGGAGCTTTGAGAGTAAAGGGGGCTTTGCTGTTGGGTTGGTTGGTTGTAACCATGACATTAGGAAAGCAATATGCTAAAGACACAATGGACTTTTTTCCCAAGAACTATTAGTGGAGACTTACAAAAATTGGAGCAGCCTGTTCTGCACTCACATATAAAACTTAACTCAAAATAGGTCTCAAACTTATACGTAAAATGTGAAATTGTAAAACTTATAGAAGAAACCAAAATCTTTGGGATCTCATCTGGTAGAATGATTAATCTGATTAGTCACTAAAGATCTGATTCATAAAAGAATAAAAGAAATCATAGGACTGGAGAAGATAACTCAGCAGTAACAAGCATCAGCTGATATTGTCTTGAGAATTGGGTTCCATTCCCAGCACTCACATGACAGTTCACAACTCTGTAACTCAAGTTTCAAAGGATCTGATGCCCTCTTTTGGCATTGGGCATCAGGCTTTAAGATGGTACACAGACATATATTCTTCAGGCAAACACAATACAAATAAAATAGATATTAAAAAAAAGAAAACCATCACAAAGTGGCCATCATCAAAACTAAATATCTATTTTCAGTGGGTGAAAAAAACTCAAAAGAACCTAAACGTCTGAAAGAATATCTGCACTGTAAATCCCATAGTTTACAGGGGATTTATAGCTAGAATATAGAATGTACTTTCTATATATAATGATATGAAACGGTTGTTTCTGAAGAAACAACCAGCAAAGCCCTAGAGGAGACACTTCTCATAAATGAAATGGCAGATAGACATGAAGCACATAAGGATGCTCAGTATCAGCTCCTACAAAAAGTCAAAACAAAATTCAATTATGCACTTATTAAAATGTCCAAATGAAAGCAACAGAGATGGGCTGGCAAGTAATGGCATTCAGCACCATACAAGAACTGGAAAGGATATGAATGAAGTATGTACAACCTTCACACATCCCTATAGAAACACAAAGGGACTCAGCTTCTTTGGGAGTTCAGATGGATTAATTTTCACTAGATATATATTATAAAATGTTTATCTCATAGTACTATTCTAGCATAATGTTATTCAGGGATGAAAAGAAACATTATGCTAGAAATATTCAAATAGTTTAAAGTGTCAAACTCTCATCTAGGAATGTGCTACATAAATATGTAAGTTGTGTTGCTGAAATATTGATAGCACCTGGGTTAGTTAAAACAGTATAGTAATCATCCTGTCTTAAGCAATGTGAGGTGTGAGACTCCTCAGTGAGTAAGGGGTCACTCAGTAGACTGTAGTTCCTCTGAGATAGTTATGGAAGGGAGGATTGAAAGAGTCAAGGAGACAATAGGAGAGAAGAAACAGCAAGTTGTAGATTGTGAGAACAGAGCCGCAACCTAGGACTGCCCTCCAGCATGTGGTGATGCAGATGATGAGATGCGGCTGGGGAGGAAGTGCTGCTGAAGATCAGTTATCAGAGGTTCAGAAATTGAAAAGGAGAAATGCTTATTGGGTCCTGACTTTGAATTATTCATAGAGTTCCAATATTTAGGATGAAAGGGGAGATGTCAACATATTTTCAGTCTTCCATTTTTAAGAGAAATGATCTGAGATATGCAAGGGACTCCAAGGAGTAAGATTAAAAGGGCTTTGCTATGTTTAGCCAGAATTTAAGACACAAAGTTCAGTGAGGCGGTGGTGGCACACACCTTTAATACCAGCACTCCAGACACAGAAGCAGTCAGATCTCTGTGAGTTTGAGGACAGCCTGGTCTACAGAGAGAGTTTCAGGACAGCAAGGGCTGCTCAGAGAAACACTGTCTTGGAACACAAACAACAACAACAAAAAAAGAAGTTTCTCTTCCTTAAAATATAATACAGATGAAAATGAAAAGAAACATAAAATACACTGCAGCAGAGCAAAGCATATAAGGCTGTCCCGGTGCAGCCTCTCCCAGAACTTTAATACAGGGCACACTACAGGGTACCCGTCTAGGAGGATCTGGAAATGGAGACTTCAGCACAGGTGTCTGCTTGGGTGTGAAGGGTTGGACTGGAGGCTCCCTGACCCTTTTGATTGACCTAAACTATATCGATTTTTAAAAATTTGGATAATAATTTTTGGTCAGTCTTTCAGAAGTCATTTTAAAATCCATAACACATACTGTTAAGTACATAAACCACACAGATGCATATAACAGAGAACAGCAATTTGCAGATAAAAAAACAACTAGTCACAAACATTAGACTGCTTTCTTAGCCACAGAAGCCTTTGGTGTCTTCCTTTTTTTTCTCAAATTCCTAGGATTGGAATTTGTCCATAACTTTAAAAAGGGCATAAAATTGAAAACTTGTGATGGTTTCCCCTCCTTCAAGTGAGTCCATCACAACCTCTAGTCCTTAATGCAATTTTTAAAAAGTCTGCTCTTTGCTTTGATATAGCTGCAAGACTAACGATATTAGCGCATATGTTTGGCTCACACCAGTTCTTCTATGTTAAAAATAATGTAAGTTTTGACAGTTTAATTTGGTGTTACAAAACCTCTTTTCAGTGGAATTTTGTATTTGACATTATAGCTATAATTCTATGTGTTTTATATAAGGTGACATTTGAGAAAACACAAAATGTCTTACAAAAAGATCATCATGAAATATGTATGACATAACTATAAAGACCATTGTGAGCATTGTTAGTAACTGCCCAGTTGGAATGGAAATCTAAGAGAACTGAAGGCTGCCATCATGTAAGCCTTCAGAAAACTCAGGTAGAGAGTTATGTCTACTAAATGTAGACCACTGACATCAAGGCCTTTACAAATTGTCCAAGAAGAAAGCACCAGTAGTGTGTCATCACTAAGTAAGGGCGCAGTTTTTGCTACTTTAGGGTTAGACGGTTATGTCCCAAGAATATCATCTTCTCCTTTTAACAACTTTCAAGCTGATATAAGCCCTGGAAATCTAATTTACATGATTTATCTGGAAACTGTAAAGTATAGTATCTATTTAGAGATAGTGTGAGAGTGAGAAAAGTGAAGAACTGTTTCTCCAGCTAATTCCAGAGCACCTGACCCCATTTATTTTTTTACCTCCATGGGCACCAGCAGTACACATTCATATGTGCAAGCAAAAAAAACCTCACACATAAATAATATAAATGCATCATTGTTTAAATTTTCATCTTCTTGTAAACTTGGTGGTGCTTTGTCAAAGTTAGGCAAATACTTGTTCCTATGTCCAGATCAAGGGGTAGTAAGTGACAGGACCTCACTGCTTCCTTGAGGATCACCACATCTCTTGATATTGAGTTCACAAATAAGTTCTTAACATTATTCTGTTTCTTATATTGCCTCTTTTAATCTGTATCAAAATTAAAAATGTTTACCTTGAACTTGTAAATTTTCAAAAAAAATCCTCACTAAATAAATGGCCTTTACAAAAGGACAATAAGTTTAAAAGGATATTTATATGTCAGCATTTTGCTGTTTTATTCTTTTAGTGTAAATAAATATGTATAGTATTTTGTTTGGTCATTGAGAAATATTCCCCACCAACAGCAGTGGTGACATTTACCTTTAATCCCAGCACTCTGGATACAAAGGCAGGTGGATCTCTATATGTTCAAGGTTACCCTGGTCTACGAAACAAGTTATAAGCCAGCCAGGGCTGCATAGTGATTGAGAACCTATCTCAAAAAGGAAAGAACAGCAACACAAAATAAAACACACATACACACCAAAATTCCTCACCATATAACTATGCCAAAAATTTTCACAAGCTTTAATGATATATGTCCTGCTTGGAATTTTAATTATTTACTTTATGGTTCCCATACTTTTTCTGTCTTCAAAATAATGGCATTTATTAACTTGTTTTGAGTTTATAATATTTGCGGATATATGGCTATAATATTTAGTAACAGTTACTTTCCTGAGTTTCTTTTAATTTGTAAGTTTTCCAAGTAAAACAATGCCAGCTTCAGGGTCAAGATATAATAAATTCAGCCTCAGCTTTTAGCTTTCTTTCTTCTTTCTTTCCTTCCTTCCTTCCTTCCTTTCTTTCTTTCTTTCTTTCCTTTCTTTCTTGACAGAGTTCCTCTATGTAGCTTTGTAGCTTGTCCTGAAACTTGTTCTGTAGACCAATCTGGCCTTGAGCTCACATAGATCACCTGCCTGTGCTTCCCAAGTGCTGGATTAAAGGCATGCACCACCACTACCTGGTATTGTTTTCATTTTTCAGTATTTAGGTGTTCATCTGCAAGTATTAATCATTGTAGGAGCATCTTCCTGTCTTTTAAAAAAAAGTCGGTACAAAACT